GGGGGGGGGGGGGCGCACGCGTGTGTGTCTGTCTGTCCAAACAACACAAAGGTTGCAATACAACCGGATGGAAGGGAAATTACTTTATTCACTTTACAAACCACCAATAAATTTTATAACAGGTAGTTAAAAGTTACGAGCGGGGAGCCAGCGGCACAACAGCGCCCGGAACACAATGGACTTGCCATTTTCCAAAGCAGCAGACGAGAGAAAAGAATCCATAAAATGAACAGGACATTTTATCTTTTGCAAGGAAAAAAAAAAAAACGAGGAAAAAAAAATCCCCAACAACCCCACAACCTGCCCGACCCGTTTCCAAAGCAGTCTTTCGGCCCATTATTTTAATATGACCTTTCTACAGGATCTCAGCCCCATGCAACGCTGCTTTTCCACTTCTTGGGCTGGAATGAAATATTAGAAAAGGTCTCTTTTCTTGGTATCCCCCCCCTCCCCTTTCTCTTCAAGGAAAAGCCAATTTTGGGGGAGAAATGGGGTGAAGTGGGGGAAAAAACTGAAGCCAGGTGGGGAAAAAAATCTAAGGGGAAATTCTCTCCCCTTCCCCAAGTTTCTCAAACTTTCTTATTTGTACCCACCCCCTTCCGAGCTGTGTTGGGTGTTAGCAAAAAATGCATATACACATAATGCCTGAGAAATTCGTTGCCTCTCCAATATAATCTGCGCCCATATTCCGGTATAAAATCTAAACGAATTTTTGAGCCTAATGGATGCATTCTCGTGGAGCGGCGGCTGTGATTAGAATAATAAATTAAGGCAAAATGAGCAATAAGCTGCAGATCAGCTTTTCGCGGAATTATATTTTTCACAAATCACAAATGGAGATCCGAAGGAAATTTGATTGGCTAATAAAAAGCGTGGAATAGGATGATATTTCTTACTGCAGGCGGCTAGATGAGTCTAATTTCAGTAATGTCGAAGCGATGATCATTTCGGTATAAGCCACTTTGTGAGGAGCGCATCTTCTTTGAAATTACTTTCCCCTCATAAAATGGCCCTTTTTTTTCCTTCCCCCCCCCTCTCTCTTTTTTCTCTCTCGAAATGATGGGATGATTGAGAAAATCACTGGATGGCAGCTGAAGATGCGACTCTGTTGTGTTGACTGCAGCCCATAAACAGTTAGCCAAAAAAAAAAAGGTGGGGGGGACCTGCTTGACTTGTAGTTTCAATAATTTCCCTTCAGACCCTTGCACAGATAAATGTCGTTCTGTATTATTCGTGCCTATCAAACTACTTAGAGCCGGGGGTTTAAATATGATGGATAGAGAACGCCGCCAACGTTTCTTTGTATTTTATTTTATTTTTAAATGAGATAAGTTCTCGCTCTTGCCTAAACCCCGTGAACAAAAATAATAATAATAATAATCTGGGTATTTCCTATGTAAGATTTCATCAAAATCTTTTTTTTTTCCCCCTCCCCAAAAGGCAGCAGTTTAGAAATAGCCCTGAGGGACTTCGCTTGAATTTGCCTGCTAACATTGATGCAGAGGTGCACAGACGCCTTGCACTGTAGCAAGGGGAAGATAACTACCGGGTTGTAAATGCCAGAAGAATAACCCTGAAGATGATACCTCTGTTCAAATAAACCCGTCTGGTTTATGGCTAATAAAACAGCCTACCTTAAGTGGCTACTTTGGAAAGAGCGAAGGCTATAGCGAGCCTTATTTTATTTCTGTAGCTCTTCCAAGGAGAAAACGAGTTGATAAGCACGTCTGTTTGCCCTACAATAAGCAGCCGACTAGAAACGGTTGGGTGTGCGGTATAGCCGTGTTGCGTGTGTTGTGTGCGGTTCCAGGGCTCGGAGGTGCGTGCATGCTGGGATGCCGGGATCAGATACCTGCAGACAGACAGACACACTTCCCTTGCCCGCACACCCTGCAAGCATGCACGCACTCCTTCGCCCCGCATGGACACACACCTTGTGTGTGTGGTGGTCTCTTGAACCTGCAGACACCCTGGCACACGGGTCTAGCCCCACACACGCCGTGTCGCACATTCACAGGCACCAGAGGGGAGGGGGGAGGCTGGGTAAGCGCACGGGTCCACACTGAAGTCATGCTTTAATACGGGATGAAACCCGCAGCCGAGCCCTGCCTCTTGCTGGGGATCTGAGCAGTGTCCAGCCTTGCCCATCACCGAGGCATTTAAATCCTTTAAGCTTCGTGTTTTGGGTTAGGAATCTCCCACGCAAACCCCAGACGCTGTGCAGTGAATCAATGCATCCTAGGAATTTTGTGCTTGCTTATCTCTCCTATCTGGGTAAACAACCCGTCTACTTTTATTTCCTCTTGCCCTATATGATGTAGTCCATTTAGAGCAGGGAGAGGGGAAAACAAGAGATGGAAAGATTTCACAGCCCCATCTCCATCGCTGAGCGAAAGGAAGACGAGCGCAAAGGAAATATTTGCAATGTCTTCGTTATTCCAACTCTCCAAGAGAACTGAAGGCACCGTAGTGGGGTTAGTGGCAGGCTATGGCATGTACCTGAGACATCTTCATCAGGCTCGATCCTAATCGCTGCTCTTTCTGCTTTTGGCCTCGGATACAAAAAATAATAATACTATGATATAGATATAATAAATCCCTGCCAACTTTCTGCTGCAGGGGTCCATGCAAGGAAGCGTATTCCCATAGAGTCCAAGGCTGTCTCGCGAATAGACCTCTATAGCGTAGTTAGTGCACATTTTAATGCACACATAATCTCTTTCCAATCTCTCAATAGCTTTCTAACGATCTCTTTGCAAGCAGCAAATTGCACAGTCGGACGACCAGAAGAAAGCCCGAGTATCTTGGCCTCTTCTGAGCAAGGCAAGGCATGGCAAGACAGGAGATGGCTGGACTTTTCCAGCAGCCAGCCCCCCAGAAAGGTCCACTTTTGAGACCTTTCAGTGGAAGCTCCCAGCTTGGGGGGAAAATAAAAGAAAGATCTGTTGGTTTGCTATCCACCCCCTTCCCCCCGCATCCCCCATAACAAGGAGCGATACGGACAGACAGAGGCAGCCCTCGTGCCAGGAGAAGGATCTTAACAATGGGAGATGGAGCAGGGATCTCTCTGCAAAGCAACTTGAAAATGGATTTTACCCACGAACTCCTCCAATAGCACATAGGTCATGGCAAAAATGGGTTTCATTCCCCTACCCCCTGTTTATTCACCACGTTGACTTAACTCTACACCAGTCGTGCCAGTATTTCCTTGAAAGTCAAAGATGGCTCTTGGTGTTGAACTGGGGCTGGGATGGGGACAAGTCACTGGAAAGTATGAAATATTATTGGGGGAGAGGGGGGTTCAATCCGTGTATGGAAGTCAATCAATAAATACACAGCAACCTAGGCGACGCCATCCTTTTAAAATCTTTTTTTATTTTATTATTCTTATCATTTACGTAATGTCTCACGTATACAATACAAATCCACGGTGTCCAGAAATTGGCTTCTGGCAGAGATTGCTACATTCAGAGTTTGAACACGAAGGACGATGCGTTTACATAAAACAAATGACGATTTTTTTTTTTGTTTCGAGCAATGTTGCATTAACAGATAAGTCAAGACAAATAGATAACTATACATTCAGTGCAATTTAATTCTACGCTACTTGATAAGCACAATAAAATAATACAATACTGTGCGTTCTTAACTAGGCAGTTTCAGTTGTTGGGAATTTTTTTTTCCAAGAAAATAGGCAGCAGCAAACGACAACAAAACCGCATTACAAATACTTTCAAAGCATGACTCTTTCTATAGGTAGTGATAAAGTACATGACAAGGTTGGTGGTGGGGTTTTTTTTTTATTCTTTTATTTTTATTCTTATTATTATTATTATTTTTTGCTACTTGGTAGCTTCCACCAGGGCAAAAAACACAGCTCTCTCTTAAATAAATTCTGACCAAGGAAAATTTAGGATATGTTAGCCCCTTCTTGAGAACAGATTGGATTATTATTGCAGGTTTCCCTTTAGGTAGTACATCAAGAATGTCGAGTCCTCACACAGTGAAATATTAAACAGCGCCTATAGAAATAATGAAATGCTCGACTCAGCCTCCCAATGTTTTTGGCCTATTCAGGCCATGCAGGTATTTTTTTTCTACAGACAGATCTACTCAAATATAGCTACTAGGTGTGTGCATTATAGTGTATGGCCCCCCTCCAAAATCCCCTCTCGCCGGAGGTTTGGCCTGACAGCTAAAAGTTAAATGATAAATGGATACCAGCAATGGAGATATATAGATATATAGATATTAAAAATAAGCTAAGGCTAGCATAAAGCAACACCAGGGCTCCTCCTGAAATCATTCAAGGGGAAGCCCAAGGCAGGGAAGAAATACAATCCCAACCTATTAAAATAAATACATAGGATGCATACATTAATATATGTATCTACATAGCCAGGTTGGAGGGTCAGCTGTTGAGATCAGTGGCATTTGCTTGACTGCTTAGTTTATGTTGGATGGGTTTTTTCCTCTCTTTTTTTTCCCTCTTTTTTTCTCCCCTCTCTCCTGTTGTAGTCAAGCCAACTATATATTTATTGGAAGCCAAAATAAATGCAGCTATCAAGAAAAAAAAAAGAAGGGGAAGTTCTATGACAATAAAAAAGGCTACAACTGTTTGACAGGTAGTTACTGTTGTGTGAGTCTCTCCATTCTATACTCTATAAAAGCAAATGACCGTCGTAAACATCTCGATTTATCATCTGCCATAAAACGAGACTTCAAGGAGCTGAGACCTCAGTCCTTGCTTTCTTCTTTTTCCTCCTCTTCTTTTTCTTCTTCTTCATTCCCTTCTTCCTCCGTTTTCTCCTCGTCCCTGGCCCCCGGGAGCTTATCCTTGTTGTTCTCCTTTTTCCATTTCATTCTCCTGTTCTGGAACCATATCTTCACTTGCCTTTCCGTCAGTCCCAGGGCGTGAGAGACCTCAATCCGTCGCTTCCGTGTCAAATAAGGATTGAAAAGGAACTCCTTTTCTAGCTCCAGGGTTTGATACCGGCTGTAAGTCTGCCTACCACTGCGCCTTCCGGGAGCTATGGGACACAAACAAAATAACTTGTTAGCTCTCTGCTGTCTCTCTGATTTTTTTGCCCCCCCCCCACCTTTCTGCCTCATCTGTCCTAGAAAAAAAAGTGGCCATCTCCTCTCCTCTCCCCCTCCAGCCCCTCGTGTCACTATATCAGACAAAACAAGGGAGTGATTTTATTTTTTTTTTAAGAAGCAATAATACTGTAATATACCCTCTTCCCCTCCCCCCCTCCCCCTATCTTCCCTCTCTCTCCCCCCCACCCACCCCT